TAGGCCAAGCCTCTGCGCAAGAGCAGGAGCCGGTGGTATGGGAAGCGAAGTAACGAGCGCATAGAGTCGAGGAGCGAAGAGGAGAGGAGCGAGGCCGCAGCGAGCAGGATCGTGACCCGCTGCCGACAACAGATGCTCAAGCGACAGAATACCGTCGTCCGCAAACATCGCACGACAGCTGACACGATCTCATACGAACAACATTCACGCCAGAAAGACGACGCATGCTGGCCGCCCCCCTCAGCCGCGCGACAATCGGAGACTGTCAGCCCATCGATGCGTGGCTGCCCCGCCTCTCGAGCACGCTCAGAACCGCGACGATCGCAGACGTCAGCCATCGCATCGGTGGCCCGCCCCCTCTCAGGCAGTCGCAGCCGGCCAACCGCATCGAGACGTTCACCATCGCGGTTCGCGGCCCCTCTTGGGATGTCAGAGCCAGCAACAGACGAGACATCGCCCATCCGATCGGTGAGCCCCCCTCCATGCCGGTTGGACCGGGTGCGCCCGCCCCCTCTCGCGCGTATGTCGGCATCGCCCTGCGACCGCGCTCGCTAGACGCTCTGCCGATCGATCGGCCCGGCCGGCGCCACTCGCTGCCTGCCCCTCTATCAGTCTCAGACGCTGACGCTGGGCATACCCCGGTTCGACGAGTCTCGTCTGCGCGGCCGGCCGGCGCGTCGTCGTCGGCAACGGATCGGATGCACGACCGGCAGCTGCAGACTGTCTTTCCCGCCTTCCGATCCCGCGGACGGTCACTCGAAGCACGCGCCGTCTGCCCCGCAACGCAACAGCCTGGGAAGAGGAGAGCATACGAGCCGACTCGAGAGGCCCGCTAGCTAATGGCGGCGCCCTCTGGTGGACACGCCGAAGAGTCGTCTGCTCGGGTTTGCGCGGACAATCTGAATTTATCTCACATACATGTATAAATACATGTACATGTGAACACACATTAAACATATAAATACATGTACATGTGAACACACATTAAACATATAAATACATGTACATGTGAACACACATTAAACATATAAATACATGTACATGCAAACACACGTTAAACATATAAATACATGTACGTCAGTACATGTGAACACACATTAAATATATAAATACATGCACATGCAGGGGTAGAAATTAACTTTTAAACAAGGGAGTCCAACTGATTCCCTGCCCTCAAAAAGAGGGAGTCTGCGGCAAAATGAGGGAGTCAGCAGTCTGAAGTTAAAAACTAAAGATATTAACAATAACGCATGTGCTTAATTAGAAGATTCATGCGGTTGCACGTCTGCCAAATGTTCTTTGGACATTTGCTGAAAAAATACGGTAATTTTGCGTGGGAATAATAAGGAGGCCATGCTCTGGAACGAACTAGTTAGTATAGCAGCATTTTCAGGGAGTCACACGGACTCCTGCATATGTCAAATCAGGGAGTCCGACAGTAAATCAGGGAGTATTTGACTCTGGACTCACGTTAATTTCGCACCCTGCTGATGTATTCATTATAATATTTGTTAGAGCGTTCCTTGTTCATGCGTTGAATGTCGTCTGCTTGCACGTTGCTGTCGCTTTTACATACGAAAGAGCATTTAAATATACGTTCCAAAACACGTCCGATAGAGTCTTAGTAGTAATAGGTGTATTTGTTGTAATACTCCTTACTCGTGCATCTCACGTCGTCTGCTGCGCGCTTGTTTGTTTACAGTCGCTATGCGCGCTTAGCAACCAGCAGCGGCACGAGGAGGAGCAGATCTTCAGTCACCTGCTGTCGGCGGCACAGCGGCGCAACCTGGCGATCGCGAGCCGCATCCGAGATCAGATCATCTTCATCCTGCGTGAGAAACACGGAGCCTGGTGCCGCGGTGACGGCAGCGCCCCCACGTACGTCGCAGCCTCCGTGGCGACGCCGCCGCGATGGCTAATCAGCTTCCTTAATTAAATTAAATTAATTAGGTTGAGTAAAATAGTTGAGTAAATAGCGGCATCGTACTCGTGTGCCATGCAGCTTTCCTAGTCTGGTTAATTAGTTAAATTTGAGTGATTAACGTAAAACTAGATTAATTAATTAAATTAAATTGAGGGGTTTACCAATTTAATTTGAATTTATTTGGTGCAAATAATGTAGTCTAATTTGTGGGGCCATTTACGGTTGTTGCGATCAGTCGCGAGTCTTGCAGCAAGACCTCGTTAGCGATTCTCGTTAGCGATCTTCATTAGCTATGTTCGTTAGCGATACTCTATAGCAATGGTGCGAATTGCAGGAATCAGTTTTGGAAGCTGGATCGTTGGGAGGATGACTTCAGGCGGCGGCGACGGCTGGTGCACAACCCTCTCGGATCCACGCACCCCGAGGCCACGCTGAAGGCTGCGTTAGAACACGGTGT